GAAGCCCTGCCCCGTCTGCCAGCAGAAGGCACAGAGCAGCCAGGCCCTCGGCAAATGGCTGTGCCCTGGAGAGCAGTGCCCCGGGTACACGGAGGGCTGCACACGGCTAAGCAGTGACGCCCTGGCTCAGGGGCAGAAAGAAGAGCCGCAGTGCCAGGGCTCCCGGAGCTTCTGGAACCCTGACTGGCTTCCCGTCAGGAGCGGGAGGTGGGGGTCTCAGCCTGGCCCTGCCCCCAGCACGGAGGCCCCAGGCTCCACCCGCCTCCCGTTCTGAATGATTAAGGCTCGGGAGGCTCTGGTCTAGCTTGTGTGAATACATGTTGGCGGAGGCTGCTAAGGCTTTGACTTTCTTTTTCAGTGACTTCCTCGGTGGGAAAAGAACACAGCTCTGCCCTCCAAGGGCGCAGCCCCAGGGACCGGCTGCTGCCCTGCTCTGCCCGCGGGTCCAAGCGGGGGACCCGCAGCTCCACCTGCAGCTGAGCGAGGGTCTCGGTGAGCGGGGCTCAGACCCAGCAATGCTGCTCGGCCTCCTGCAGGTGCCCGGCCTCTCCTGGGGGGAGGGGGGGCCCGAGGACGGCGCCCTCCAGCACCCCCTCCCCAAGGCTCCTCTCTGCCCCCAACCGAGGGAAAAGCCGCGGCTTCACGCTGTGTGTGTGTGTGTGTGTGTGTGTGTGTAGGAGTATCTATGTGTGTTGTGTGTGCTGTGTGTGTATGAGTATTTGTATGTGGTGTGTGTGTGTATCTGTGTGTATGTGAGGTGTGTGCAGTGTGTGTGTATTTATGTGTGTCTGTGGTGTGTGTATGTACTTGTGTGTATGTGAGGTGTGTGCAGTGTGTGTTTGTGTGTGTGTATCTCTGTGTATGTGAGGTGTGTGCAGTGTGTGTATCTGTGTGTATGTGTGGTGTGTGCAATATGTGTATGTATCTGTGCGTGTGAGGTATGTGCAGTGTATCTATGTGTGTGTCTGTATCTCTGTGTGTGAGGTGTGTGTGTATGTATCTGTGTGTATGTGAAGTGTGTGCAGTGTATCTATGTGTGTGTCTGTATCTGTGTGTGAGGTCTGTGCAGTGTGTGTGTATGTATCTGTGTGTATGTGAGGTGTGTGCAGTGTGTGTGTACCTATGCGTG